CACATCAGTTGATCTGAATTTCATAAATGTTGGCGGGATGAGGCAGACAACAGTAAGTATTCATTGCTGTGCTTGTGCCCTCCATACATGCTGTCGCCCCCTTGTACTACAACGGTGGGGGAGCTAAGGCATGCTGGGAAAACAAACCACAGGGAAGATCAGTGTGTTAACTAGGACAGTTTCAAACTTTTAAAATGTTCACACTGCCAATGAAACATAAGTTACAGCCTAGAAAGAGAATATCTGTAACTGTGAGTTTTTAGATTTTGATCTTAAATGTAGGCTAATGGTGAGCAAACATGTCATAAAGCAAAATGAGTAATGAATTATGAATTAAGCATAAGCAAGTAGCCTGGTTTATAATAATTTTGACAAATTATGACATACTAGAAGCTAGTAACTGTAAGTCATGAAGAATAGCTTAGCTACTTTCTTATGCTAAATCATACGTATCCAAGCCAATTCTTTACAAATTAGAAAATCGACCCGTTTCTGAGAAGTAAACATTAATAAGGTAGCACATTTTAGTGGTGTTTTTATACCACAATAAGTTAATAATGAATAACTTACCTTTTAGACCCCAACGCGCTAACGTTGTCTGTTTTGGTCTTTCACGAACGATCCGTTCATTGCGTCTGTCACGTGACAAATGAACTAAAGACTCAGAAGGTAAAGTCATTATTTATATTCCCTGTAAATTATTTTTGACTACATTATAGCCTCATGATTTCTTCATTCAGCATATGATTAAGATTGCGTAGGTGGATGTGTTCGTGGAATTTACCTGTTAAAAGTATAAAAATTTAAAGCAAAATGAACGAATTGACTCGGAAAAAAGAATCGTTCATTTTGATAAACGAGATCGAACAAGAAGGTCAGTCATAATCATAGATAGACATAATAAAATGTATTTATTATATCTATGAGTAAAATTATCCGAACTTTCCCAACAAAAAGACAGTTACTGCACCGACACTCTGAATGAACGAGAGTTTTGAACAAATCGGTTGGATGAATGATTCAAATGACTCACTCACGTGTCACTCGAATGAATAAGCATTTATTAAGGAATCTGTTAAATGAGTTAATACATGTAAATTATTCATGAAGACAGTTACTCACCGCCATCTACTGGTGTAAATATGTAAAACCGATTAATCACAATTAATCACACCCAAAATAAAGGTTTGTGTTTGTTTACATAATATGTGTTCTGTGTATAATTATTTTGTTTATATAAATACACATATATGTATTTCTAAGAAACATTTGTATGTACTATATACGTTGCGATTAATTGCGATTATTATATAGGCCTTTATGCAAAATAACAGTGGCGCGTGTGTGTATTCTACAGATAATGAAAAATGTCCTGTTTTCGAAAGATACAGCCATACTGTTTCAGACATATTTTGCCTGTACCGATACTTAACAATACCATCTGATGGAGTGCCTTGGGATCAATAGGATATTTAGGAGGTTGATGAGGTTACGTGTTTGTGTGGCGTTTGCTGGAATCAGTTATTGAGCCAGTTGCTCACCCACAAGAACGATAAATAATGGATAATAATGACATTTTCATTTTAGTGTTCAAAACAGTCTCCGAGGGTAAAGAAAACACCGGAATCTGTTCATTAATCATTGAATTAGCCCTCCACACTTACGGAAGCACTTCCAGCTCTATTGTGCGAATCTCTTTGCGGAAGTTGAATTGGCGGTCAGGCCTCTCTGTGACTAACAAGGTTTAATCCGGGCCAACAACACATGGAGCCGCCTGATTCAGCATTCACCCCGAACCATTTGCGTTTTCTCGGCCCTTGAAATATCTTATCTTCTGAATTAGAGCTTAATTTCTCCTCTGTCTGGTTGATATCTCCAGGGGCGTGATAATTTGCACAGCATGGATTGTATCAGGTTCATGCAAATAAGGATCATCGGTGACAGACTTTGCTTATAACATCAAAGAGAAAGTTTGAGTGGTTAGGGTGCACGCCGAGGCCAGCAGAGTAAAGGTTTTGCATTGAAATGATGCCAATTTGCATATATGCTAACGAGGGCATGGTTATATTTTATTAGCAGGCTAAGTTATGAATTTCTGCTCTCAAGGTAGGGAAACCCTTAGTCGACTTAGTCAGGTGGGTCACACTGTAGATAGATCTCTTTAATTCTTTATGGATGCAAGTATGACTCATGATGGAGTCATGAGATTCATTAGGCTAATTAAGAGCCGCTTACAGTAGAAGTTCACAGAATCATATACAGAATATCTTTGTAGCACATAAATGTTTAATTATTTTCTTTCCAACTTATTTTGCCCTGGGTTTAATGTATTACAAATTCTACCTTTCCATTGCAAGTGGGTCATGTGGATATTGTATGCACTAAATGTAAAAGTTCAAACACTACACATGCATAACAAGGCAACTCAAGGTGCTCATGAATGTTTAATCAAAAAGTTTGTATAAATTGCACGTATCACAAATGTTTGGGAAGCAACGCTGTTTGCGTTTTGTCTCTTTGGAAAACTGTGGACACTCACATTGAAATGTGTTTGCAGTACTTTATGGTGTTTACAGTGTCCAAATTAATATCAAATGTGCGTTGCATCATGATTTCTGACATCAGGATTTTATTAAGAGTGAAATTCAAAAGCCAAATGTTTTATAGCCCATAAGTAGCCTACTTATAAGTATAAGTATTTATAAGTATACTGTGCTGTCAAATCGATTAATCACAATTGATTCCGTCTAACATAAAAGATTGTAAATAAAGTACAAATGTGTAGGCTATGCTTAGTGTATATGTACTATATTCTAGGGCCGTCAAACGAATGCTTAGTGTAAATGTACTATATATACTAGGGCTGTCAAACGATTAATCACATTCAAAATAAAAGTTTTTGCTTACATAATATATGTGGGTGCACTGTGTATAATTATATATATATATATATATATATATATATATACACACATGCATGTATGTTTAAGAAAAAAAAAAAAAATAATAAATATATATATATATATATATATATATATATAAATTAATTGCGATTAATCATTTGACAGCCCTATATACACATACATATATTTATATATTTTATTATTGTGTTATATATTTACAAAAAAAATGATTTGACATTATACATACATATACTGTATAAGCATTCAAAATTCTAATACATTTTAACTACAGTTCTTGAACTAATATTTTAATATTTGTGCAAAATTTTATATCACAGCTGTAAAAATGACTACCGTAGTCAAAACTGTTCTGTGCCATAATATCCTTCTGGTGTTATGTGTGAGACAGCACATTTGTGCACAGCTTGTTGCGTGACCTCCTGGCGTCCTATCTGAATCTGACTGTGCTCACTCAACGAGAATGAAGTAGTGATGGAGGACAAGTTTCCTACATCGCTAACACTGAACTACAGGATGTCTTTCTACTGAACTCGTCTCATCTGAGAGTTTTGTGGGACAGACTAAACATTTGACATCCAACTGTGGAAGTAAGTCACTTTAGCTGTCTGTGGGAAGTGCAAATCAGTTCAGTGTTAACAACATGCTTCTTTATATTCAACAGAAGCCCCAAATGTATTGTGTATTTGGACACTTAAAAAATGTCTAAATCTCATGCGTTACATAAAACATCAAACATGTCACTTAACTAACTTCTCTTCCTTCATCATTTTTGTTCAATGATTAGAAAGTCACCAAATACATTTTTATTGCAACAAATGTTCATTTCTATTACAAGGTCTTTTTAGTTAGTTTTCAATGAGGTTTCATGAACTAACAATGAAAAACACTCACAAGTCAAGTCACATTTATTTATATAGCGCTTTTTACAATACAGATTGTTTCAGCTTTACAGAGACTAAAATAATGCCACAAAGTTTGTTTCCAAAAGAAAATAGCGTCAGAGTCCAGCTTAAATAAGTCACTGATGGTTCATTTTTGTTGTAAAAAAGTTATTAATATAGTTCATTAAACTGTGATGTCATCGTTCAGCTCAGTTCAGTTCTTGTATAATAGTGTCAATGCAGGCAGATCAATATTATTGTTGAATATTAAATTAAATGTTAAATATAATGTCGCCAACTAAGCAAGCCAAAAGCAATGGCAACAAATTTGAAAAAAGTGTGTGTGTGTAAAGGTTCTGTATATGAATTCTGAATATAATCCGCTTGAAGGTGACATTTGCGCATGGATGCTTTCAACGTGTCATGCAGAGAACCATCCAAATGGGCAAGTTATATTCTTGGCAAAGGGAAACACAGACAAAACACTTGCTAATATTTTGTTTCCACATAGATGACAACTTTCATAATGTGACAATGGAAGCTGACAGTCTCTTGATATATGCAGTATAGTCATGAATCAGTTTTAAGACATTAAATTCGCAGCTTTGCGTTAAAGTAATGAAGAAACCTCTCAGAGGAGAGCGCTAAAGCCCAGCGGACATTAAAAGCAATTGCTCTGCTGTCACTGAAGTGCTGTTGGCTTGTGGTTCACACCACAGAGATGGGACAGGAGACTCGGGTACGCCTGATAATGCATGATAATGTCCGTGTTGGGGGAATGTCACCAAAAGTGTGAAGAAGGGTCATATTTTACAAACATGAATAACAGAAAAAAATAGATATATTTGGCACAAATGCATTTTAACCAAAGTAATGCCATGATGAATACTTACAAAAATCTATTATTTGCAATGCAAAAATAAATTATTTTAATATCCTATTTGTTGTTATTAATTTAAATTCAAATGGACGGATAGATAGATACTGTAGATAGATAGATAGATAAATAGATAGTCAGATAAATAGATAGACAGACAGATAAATGAATAAAGAGACAGACAGAGATAGATAGACATATAGAGACAGATGATAGACAGATAGAGATACATGTGATAGATAGATAGATAGATATCTAAGTAAGTATATATGTACTTCAATATGGATATTGCTCAAATTTCAAAGAATCAGAAAGAGACAGAGCAGAAAAAAACTTTATTTTATTCATATTTACATATATGTTTCATGGATAAGTAACTCCATTAATCTTTGTCTTACAAACCAATGCACAATTAGGTAATTTAATATTTAAAACGGAATAATTATAATTTAATAAATAAAAGAATGAACATACAGATAATACCCTGTTTTCAAAAATTAAATGAGGTCCAGTGTTTTCGTAAAGTCAACATGAAATGGCTTTCAAAACCCATTTTACTTCAGTGAAAAGGATTTAACGTATCGCGGGAGCATGAAACGAGGCTGGAGGGGAACGTCCTGTCAGCTGGTGGAAGAGGCAGCGAATAATGTGACGAAAACTACGAAACTTTTCTTCCCTTTGGAATAACATGCACAGATTAATCATTCATAATAAGACCAGGAACATCTAGTAAAGTAAACAGGGTCAGTTATGATTTCATGTTGACTTTAAATTAGTCAGTCCACACAATAATGTGCGATTCCCCTTCTCAGTCAAATGAATGATGTAAAACATCCCAAACTCGGAGAACACTCGCTTTTCCCGGGGTACGAATAAATATTTCAAAACGGGCCTGAACTCTGAATCCACTCGTATGAGAAAGACAGAGATTGCAGATTTCGAGCAGACCAACATTTACACATATTTATTCCTCCCATTTCCAGAGGGATCCGCCGCTGTTCGGCACGCAAAAAATAACAGCAGGTTGAGTTTCAGAGTGTTTAATCAAACACATGACACACATAATTGCCCTTTTCGCCTTTTTACGACCACAGAGACTAATTCAGCATTTGTCCGGAGTCAGGAGCCCGAGCGTTTCCTCCTGAGGGTCTCGCTTTGTAGCTTAACTCATATTCTCCCGTGACGCCGCGTTGTTTTCCGTCACGTTTCAGCACTTGAGGCACTCGTACGTTGCTTCATCCATGCCGTTGTGGAGCTGTGGTGGGTGTGGCAAAACTATGCATATTCATTTCCACCATTTTAATATTCATTATTAGGTCCACTTTTCACATATTCATGACTCTATTCATAAAATCTTTATCCATGTACAACAATATTTAAATTATGTGTCATTTAAGGCAGTCCAAACATTTACAAAAGAGGGTAAAAGAGACGAGGCATAATTGCAGAATGTCCCGCTGAAGAAGAAAAACTCCGTATCCCAGTAGAAGTCCAAGTCTTTTGAAGTTCATACACAAGACCCAAACACATCCGTGATTATATGTGCACTGACGGCACGCTCTGGTTCAGTACTTGGGCTCTCATCACCTGGACGCTGGTCATGATCTTCTTCTGATGGCCCATTAATGTGACTCCCAACCTATGCATGTCACTGGGAAAAGAAATGTGATTATGAGTAGTGCTCAGTCAATTGTTTCCCTCATAATTATGATTATTTTTTATTCATATATGTATTATGAATGTAAACATCCAAAACAAGCTTTAAAACTCGTCCCTTATTGTATGTGAACTCAGACTAACTTAATGCCTATAATGCTCAACCGCTACACACACATTTATACAGAAATCTTTCTGTTGCTGTAATTGACCCTTTTCAAGATTAGTTAATCATGGCAATTGTAACCATACACATGATTCATCAGACAACTAATTGTAGCTGTAATTATGGGCTTATTGTGTTTAAAGTTTCATTAACAACATCTGAAACAAACAAATGATTTGCAACAAGCACGGTTGTAGATTTTTTTTAAAAACCTTTTAAAGACATTACGGCTGATTTCATAATCACATCTAATAAAAGCGACTTTAATAATATGATTTGCAGATTTGTGGGACTGGGAATGTGGTCAGAAATTGATGAATATGGACAAATTAGCCATAAATGACAACAGAACTGCTTTTGATATATGCTGATCGACTAGTAAATGGAAATGTGGAAAGAAATATGGACATAATAGCCATAAATGACAACATAATGCTTTCAATGAAGTACTAATCAGTGTTATTTTAGTAGTATTTTTATACTAGTAATTTTGCTATGTCCCTTTGCTAATACATTCTTTTTTAACTATTTCTACTGAGCTTTCATTTATTTTTATTTCAGTTTTAGTAATTTTAGTACTTCAAATTACACATATTTTATTTCAGTTAGTTGCCAAGGCAATATTTGTGATTTTTTAAAGCTTTTTTTTTTCATCTTTTATTTATATTTAATCAAATTTTTAGCTTTATCTCAATGAATGAAATATCTATTTCAGTTTGCTTTGTTCCTCCCATGATAAGGCATCAGGAGACTTGGAATACAGCACAAAAGTCAGAAGAAACAAAGTCATATGGGTTTAGTGAATTTGCATTTCTGGGGGATCTAAACTTTCAGACATCTGAAGAAAAAAAAAATCAATTGAAAAGTAGAGGTCTGAGAATGTGTCTTGAGTAAACCAATGAAATCCACTAAAATCCTGAAATCCACGATAAAGTTGGTCTCCACCAAGCTGATTCACATTTTTTTTTAAATCAGGGATTGATTTGTATGGAAGGTTGTTTCCGCCACTTATTGAAAAATAAAAAAGGTAATTGCAACTTTTTATCTCACAATTCTGACTTTTTTTCTCACAATTGTGAGTTTACATCTTGCAATTCTGAATTTATTTCTCACAATTGCGAGATATAAAGTCAGAATTGCATGACAAAGTCAGAATTGTGTGATATAAAGTCGCAATTGCGTGATATAAAGTCAGAATTGTGAGATATAAAGTCAGAGTTGCGAGATATAAAGTCGCAATTGCGTGTTATAATGTCAGAAATGCATGATATAAAGTCAAAATTGCGTGTTGTAAAGTCAGAATTGCGAGACATAAAGTCGGAATTGTGAGATATAAACTATTCTGAGAATTGGCCTGATAATTCGCAATTGCGAGTTTATATCTCACAGTTCTGAGAAAAGATGTCAGAATTTCGAGATGTAAACTCGCAATTGTAAGAAAAAAAGTCTCAATTCTGTCTTTTTCTCACAATTGCGACTAATTTTTAAAATTGTGACTTTATTTCTGGCAATTGCGACTTTATTTCTCAGAATTGCGACTTCATTTCTCAAAATTGCGACTTTATTTCTCAGAATTGCGACTTGATTTTTCTCAATTGCGACTTTATTTCTCAGAATTGCAACTTCATTTTTTTTAAAATTGCGACTTTATATCTCGCAATTGCAACTTTATTTCTCAGAATTGCGACTATTTCTTAAAATTGCGACTTTAGATCTCGCAATTGCGACTTTATTTCTCAGAATTGCGACTTGATTTCTCGCAATTGCGACTTTAATTCTCAGAATTGCGACTTGATTTCTTCCAATTGCGACTTTCTTTCTCAGAATTGCGACTTTATATATCGCAATTGCGACTTTATTTCTCAGAATTGCGACTTCATATTTCGGAATTGCGACTTTATTTCTCACAATTCTGACTTCATATCTCGCAATTGTGAGATAAAAAGTCCAATTTTTTTTTCAGTGGCGGAAACAAGCTTCCATAGATTTGCTTCAATGTCTACAAATCCAAAAAAAAATAAAAATAAGAAAAAATAAGAAATAGCATTGACAGACCCATTGTACAGGCAAACAACGAACACCCCAAAAGTGCATCTAATGGTCATTGATCATCTCACTTGAGGAGATGACGATCAATCAAAGGCTTAAAGCCATAAGGACACCTCCAATCTGTCCTCCATCTACCTCAGCGCTAAGCTTCACACAGCCAGCTGGAGCCCTGCGATGCTGAGATGATGCATCTAAAAGGCTTCATTTCTGCATTAGCAATCTCAAGCACTCCGCCGTGTTACGGAGCGAGAAGTCAATCAACTCACTGTTGTTTCATGCTCATCACATGTCCCAGAGTCAGATACCCTCCTGCGGCAAAGTGGTTCTTATAACGGCCCATCTTAATGGTGTCCAGCCACTCGTCCACTGATCTGCAGCTGCTGAAATCAGGAATGCTTCTGTTCATCAAAGGACTGTTTAGCCTGAAATGAGAGCAGGGGGAATGAGGAGGCGCGTGTGAGATGTACCTTTGAAATGCGGCGAGCGGAAAATCAATATGAGTTAAAATGATAGAGAAGGTAGGAAAGAGGGTGGGGGGGTGGCTGTAGATCTGGCTGGTTTGGGTAGATTAATACAGGGATGAAATCCCTATTTCTTCCCATCAACGCTCCCCGCGCATCTGGATATGCACCGGCAACTTGACAGGACTTGCGCTCCGAGCTTTGCAATTTATACAAGTCCAATTGTGAAAGCAGAAGCGTTCTTTTTTGGTTCACGGCAGATCAATGTCAATATAGCACAGAGGTCTTTTATTTAACAGCGAACACATCTATTTGAGATGAGCTTATTGGAAAACGCACACTTAAAGCCGGCCAGTCGTATTCCCAGCCACTCAGACTTTCTCATCAACTTTGCGAGACTTTTAATGCAGATCATATCTGACATCGACAAAGTGCATTTGTCAGGTAAATCCCCCCGATGACGACGTATCGATTGACGGAGCTCACCTGCACAATGTGTCCATTGACTTGAGGTTCTCGGGGTTCCGGATCAGCTTATCCAGGACCGCGACGATCTGGCAGAATCTGGGTCTTTCGTTGCGGTCTTTCTGCCAGCAGTCCAGCATTAGGGTGTGGAGGGCCCCGGGGCAGCCCATGGGGGCCGGGAGTCGGTAACCCTCCTCTACGGACTTGATCACCTGCAGAACACCAATCAAACACAATTCATATAGGGGACATCATTCTGATGTGGTGGTCAAGAAACATTTATTATTATAATCAATGCTGAAAACAGTTGTGCTGCTTCATGTTTGTGTGTGAGAGTGTGTGTGGATTTCAGGTTTTTAAGAAAGATTAAAATAACTTAATCACCTGCCGTAAACCAAACAAACTGAATTTGTCAGAATGATTTGTCTCATTGATCAAATAATTTGGCAAATTCAAAAAAGAAAAAAAAGGCAATATTCAATATTTTATTTTTGACTTAATTATTATTAAGTACGTACTTTTAATGTTACTTATGAATCAAGCATCACACTGGAAACATGCTTTTAATTATTCTACTAGTTTTTAAAATTTTAGTTCTAAATCTAAAATCCAACAAATCCAAGATAAATGTATTTCTGCATAGGATATGATAAAGTGCTTATTAAGAAAATGATTTTTTTTTGCAGTGTATGCTGTACTATTGAGTCAATATGAAAATTAAGTATAGTTTACGGCGAGTCCCAATTTGAGTACTTGCACTATTATACAACAAAACGTCATAGAATAGCAGGAGTAGTGTGTTCACACTGACAATTCCACATAGAAAAAGTGAACTTTAAATTCCCGGATGATGCACTTACTTAATTATCCAAAATGAATTATGACACTTAATTATGCACTCAACTGTTGCAGCAGAGGGGGAGGGGCTGTCGGTTCCAATGATGAATTATGAAATAAACGTATGAAATTCATACACTACACGGTTGAGTACATAGTGTATAAGTACATACATAGTGTTTAAGTGCATGCATAGTGTATAATTGCGTCATCTGGGACACCACTTTAGACCCACATCTCTGTTGGTCAAGTTCCAATATGGCCGTTCCCCATATGACATCACTTCCCACATCACCACTGCGTAACTCCATACGTCACTGGAGGAGGAGAACTTCCGATAGGCGATGGCCTCCGGTGCCGTCCAACGGATTGGGATCTTTCCTCCCTAAAATTCCATATACATTGATGGACAAAGATTAGGGAGAAACAACACCAAACATTCAAACGTATGAAACAACAGAACAGAAATGTTTTTGTTTTCTTCCCCCAAAAAAGTGTTATTTTATCAAAAGTATGGAGACTGAAAGATGCTCAAAGTGCTTTTGAAAGAAGTCTCTTAAGCTCATCAAGGCTGCATTTATCAGATTTAAAATACAGTAAAAACAGCAACATTCTGAAATACTATTACAATTTATTTTTTATTTGAATAGATTTTAAAATAAAATCTATTTGATGTATTCTCCAGACTCAAGGTTCAAGGTTCTTTATTATTTGTCATACATGTGATATATGTCATATGTGCAACGTAGTGAAAAGGTTTCAAAGGTTTATCCTACGTTTAAAAATTTTATCCTAGGTTTAAAAATTTATCCTAGGTTTAAAATGTTTATCTAGGTTTAAAAGGTTTATCCTACGTTTATCCTAGGTTTAAAAGGTTTATCCTAGGTTAAAAGGTTTATCCTCGGTTTATTCTAGGTTTATCTTAGGTTTACCCTAGTTTATCCTAGGTTTAAAATGTGTATCTAGGTTTAAAAGGTTTATCCTACGTTTAAAAAGTTTATCGTAGGTTTAAAAGGTTTATCCTAGGTTTAAAATGTTTATCTAGGTTTAAAAGGTTTATCCTAGGTTTAAAATGTTTATCTAGGTTTAAAAGGGTTATCCTACGTTTATCCTAGGTTTAAAAGGGTTATCCTACGTTTATCCTAGGTTTAAAAGGATTATCCTCGGTTTATTCTAGGTTTATCTTAGGTTTACCCTAGTTTATCCTAGGTTTAAAAGGTTTATCTAGGTTTAAAAGGTTTATCCTAGGTTTAAAATGTGCATCTAGGTTTAAAAGGTTTATCTAGGTTTAAAAGGTTTATATATATATATATATATATATACACACACACACATAATAGTTAAATACTTTTTTAAATTAAAAACAGTATAAACAGTAAAAATATAAAATGTAAAACAGTAAAAAAAAAAATTCTTTCATGACAAGTTATTGGCACTAACATTTGAGGCTAAGTACTGCAGTCCTCAGATTCTGCAGAGCATGTTTCTGGCTTTATAAACTGGTTTAGAGCAGGTACCGGACACTTACACTGGTGGTATAGGCTGCGTCAGGGTCGTCCTCCAGCACGCGTGACAGACCGAAGTCTGAAATCTTGCACACCAGATTACTGTTGACCAGAACGTTCCTGGCAGCCAAGTCCCGGTGGACGTACCCCAGATCAGCCAAGTAAGTCATGCCAGCTGCTATGCCACGCAGAATCCCCACCAGCTGAATAATGGTGAACTGACCATCATGTCTCTGTTTCGAGGGAAGAAAAACAAGGAAATCTGTGAAGTTTAACTTTGGTTCATGGGGAGGTTCAGCGAGACGAAGCAAAACTACAATGAAATAACAAGAACAAACAGGAACATGTTTACACACCCTCAGGAAAGAGTCCAAGGAGCCGTTCTCCATGTACTCTGTGATGATCATTACCGGTTTGCCTTGGCAGAGAAGGCAAGAACAAGGAGAAAAACAGGGGAAAGAACGAGAAAAAGATGTCAAGAGATTGGAGAGATGATGCAAACTAAGTCTGGGAAAAGAACAACAGAACAGGTTTTCTTCACTCATGTGGGTGAATTATTAACTGACCGTGTTCGTTACCCCAATGTGAAGGCCGAGGGGTCTTACATCAACCTCAAGGGGCTTATTCCGCAATAATGCCAGTCACATCTTACTGCATATTACATACTCTCAAAATAAATAAATACACACTGATAATTTGAGTTCGTAAGAAAAAAATTATTATAACAAATAACTGTATTACTTAAAAATGTATATAAAAATTATAATGAATTTATAAAATAATATAAAACTTTATAAATTAAAATAAGCAGCAATTTAATTTTTATTCATATATATATATATATATATATATAATATGAAAAAAACAGATTAGTAATATATATATATATATATAAAACTCATTTTCATATATTTCATTAAAAAATATATATATTATTTTAATATTGTATTATTAAATGTTTTTCTAAATTTAAATTGTTTTATAGCCTTTTCAAATCAAACACACATACACACGTATATGTATATATATATGTGTGTGTGTGTGTGTGTGTGTGTGTGTTTGATTTGAAAAGGCTATAAAACTATTTAAATTTGAATATAATACAATTTAAACAAATTACTACTGTATATTATATATAATAAAATAAAATAAATATATATATATAATTTAAATATAATACAATTTTTGATAATTAAGTAAAAAACAATTTGTACGCAAGTAATTAAAATTGGATTCAATTATATAGTGTATATGGGATATGGGGAAACATTTAGCTAGATAAATGCTTTGGAATGATTTTGAAAACAAAAATATGTATTTCAAAAATGATTATGTACACAAGTGTATGAGACTGATGGGCATTTAAAGCTCTTACTGCGGGTGACAACCCCCTCCAGGTGGATGACGTTAGGGTGATCGAACTGTGCCATGATGCTGGCCTCGCCGAGGAAATCCCTCCTCTGTTTCTCAGTGTAGCCGGCTTTAAGAGTCTTCAGAGCCACTGGGATATCACGTTTCCCGGGCAGCTTCATCCGCCCATAACACACTTCCCCAAACTCTCCTGATGTGTGCCAGAAAAAAAGATTTTAGTGTCCACACATCAAGGCTTTGATATGACATCTGAATGTTTTGTCATTAATACTAAAATTATGTGTACACGTACAGTTTTGCTCATAAGATGTTTAGATAAGATAAATATGTATTTTTTTAATGAGATAAAAGATAATAAAAATAGCACTATTTTTTATTTAGGACTGCCCTGATGAAGCAGCATAACATACTACACTTAATTTAGCTACATCAATTATCCTGTTCAAAAGACATCAAAAAAGATTTTTTTCCTGGTTCTTTGGTATCCAGCCTCATTCACACGCCGAAAATTGTCTGCATTTCAATGTTTTTGACCATCAATACAACATGATATTCATGTCGCGTAACACTGGCAACATGAAGTCAGTCTCTTAAGCACTCAGAAAATGCACATGTACACAATTCAAGTGGAAGTTTATTGTAATTTAAATCAGTATACGCCACGTTTAACTACCATTTATGCTATGAATTTATGGCATTTTGACCAAAGAATTGTACATACATGAGACTAAAAGACTACTGCATTTTCAGGGTGCATGTAAACATTGTCGATGACCGCTCGCAACCCTTTTGTGATCCCTGTGAGTCTTAGCGATCAAAGAGCCAAAGTTGGACCTCAAAATCATAAAGACACAATGATGAAAAGCTTAACCAGCAGGAATACACCATATTAAGCAAAATTAAGTGAACATGATAGATTCAGACATATATATATTTGTTTCTGATAAATATTGTTGGTGTTAGAGGGCGTGAATTTCGGTGTAGGATTATTCATTCTGCGCAAAGTCCACATACAAAAAGTTGCCTCTCAGTACTAAACTATAAAAATAAAAAATACACACGTCTGGTTTACTACAGTATTTTTGTGAGGACTCTCCATAGATGTAATGGTTTCTATACTGCACAGACTGTATATTCTATCCCCTTACACTAACCCTATATCCCTAAACCTACCCATCATAGGAAACATTTTTATATTTTCAAAAAAATCTGTATGATTTATAAGCTATAAGATCTCAATTTAGGTCCCCACAGAGTCTGTGTGCATTCAGGTTTCTAAGTCCCCACTGGGATAGAAAAACATGTACACACACACGTGTATATATTAAACCTAATATTTTTTCCGTCTTGATTTGTATGATCTCATCTTTTCTGATTATTTTCTTTCTTTTGTGTCAATGTTTTTCCAGGCAGTTCTCGTGTAGTCTCCCGATGCCCAGGAGAATTTCCCACAATCGCCAAGGCCAGCTATACCTGAACCGATGATTTTCTCTATTTTGATCCTGGACGCTTCAATTTCTCTGGCAAACTCGTGGACAGCTTGGCAGGGGTCCTCGTATGTGTGGGGATCAATATAAAATCTGGCTTCTGGAAATGATACTAGAATAAACAGAATTAGCATTTGGTCACATATTGCGGCATGAAAGCAATTTTCAGTCACAGCCACAATCTCTGAAGGGCCCAGGCAGCAGCTACAGCAAGATATTGGTCCAAAAAAGCAATAGTTTCCTGCCTAAAATTCATTAAAAGAGAAATCATCAGGGGAAAAGAGTGCGTCTCATACCATGGCCATTTTGGTAGTGCATTTTCTCCTCGTCTGAGTCTTGGAAAGCTTTGCTGTATCCACAACGACTGTAACGCAATCCAGAAGAAGAAACAGAAATAGTTTTTTTAAAGGGTCTTGTGATGTACATCCCACATGTTAATAACATTCAAACGTAAAACTTAATTAACTTGATACTTAATTACCATAGAACTTCACATGGGAATAACAAACGTCCTTTTGACTTAATCCGCCGCCTTGTATTTATCAAGAAAAAGTGTTTTTAACTGAAAAAGGCTCCGTTCACTAAGGTGATAATACATTTTCATTTCATTTTCAGATAATACATTTGATTCGAAGCAAAAAGTATTTGAAAATCCCCCCAAAAATTAAAGAACCCAACATAATCCATTATATGATTGAAAAAACATACATTTGAACTTTATAGCAAAATATTCAAACATATGCCAACACTACATAATTCACAAAGCTTCATTGGAGTTTCATGAGTGGCAATTTCACTATTGTACCTTATTGCATTATTAAATCAATTTCTGTATGGATTTCTATTTCTGTTGCGATATATATGACTTAAGAATATTTGCAGTATTATTAGTCTAAAAACAATCAAATAAAATGTCTTTTGTACAGGCTCATTCACACCAAGGTTGATAATAATGATATGATAACAATAAAGAAATCATTCTTAATATAAAATAATAGCAGATTCCACACCACAACTAACAGGTACAACTAATATTTTAGGAATAACTTTCAAAATAATTTTTTTAAGCTAATGAACAATAAAAACACAGACGCCCAATCAGAATCCATCCTGCATTTAAAGCGGCAGACGACAAAACTACAGAGCGCTTCGAATAAACGGAGAGATATCATCGGCTGGTGTGGGCGCTAATATAGTTACCTCGTTTTTGGTGTGAACAGGCCTTACACTCTCAGAAAAAAAGGTACAAAAGCTGTCACTGGGGCTGTACCTTTTCAAAAGGTACACTTTTGTACCCAAAGGCTGCATATTGGTACCTTAGTGGTACATATTAGAACCTATAATGTACATATTAGCACCTAAAATGTACATATTAACACTTAAAATGTACATATTAGCACCTAAAATGTACATATTAACACTTAAAATGTACATATTAACACTTAAAATGTACATATTAGCACCTAAAATGTACATAATAGCACCTAAAATATAGATATTAACACTTAAAATGTACATATTAGCACTTAAAACGGAAAAAAATTTTACCTTTTGAAAAGGTACAGCCCCAGTGACAGCTTTTGTACCTTTTTTCTGAAAATGAAAGATGTGTATTTCAGGGTGTAAATGTACCCAAATATATACAGTATAGTCCAGTGAAACTTTCACAGATAATTACAGCATTAGTTATTGAGGTGTTTGAGCGGGATTACTTCAGGATGGGAAGCTGGCATGAATATTCTCTAAATCAATTAACCCAAAAATGAGAATTCTTCCTCATTTACTCCCATATCGTTCTAAACTTGTATGATTTATATAGCAAAAATCAAAGATATTTCACGGAAAAGTTGGTGTGTTCACTAGAGCGGATGTCTGATTTGTGAATGAATCATTCTATTGAGTCTCGTTTTTTTCTATGAATCATTTGCTCCAGTTCACAAAACCGGTCTGAATTACTCATTCAGTCAATGATTCAGTCACAGACCGACAGAAGAAAGTCACACAGGGTTGGAATGGACTAGATGAACTAGATGGACATATAATACAGAGAAAAGCAGGGGAAATGAATGCAGACAATTCAAAGTACTCCTCTTGCCGTTTTCTGCAGATGACAACGGCCAGAAATGTCACCAGTCCCGTCACCGAAGCCAAGCAGATCCAGATAATCGCCATGTTGGTATTTCGCAGCGGAGCTGGTGAAGAAACACAGAAACCAAACATCAGCTCTAATGCACCATTAAACACTCTGAATCATCACCAGGGGACGTTCGGCCAGAAATGGCATGTGTGTGTGCAATCCAAACACATGAAAACAATACGCTTCACAAGATACAGCAGCATAAGGTGCGTCATGAATATATACACTGAAGATATAGACATACATTTGTACTTATATTTTTGGTGCCTGTGAAGAACATCATTCAATGACAAACTAATTTTTTACATTTTAAGATTAATGAGAGATGCTCTAAATTGTTCCTAACACAATCCAAAAACAAATTATAACTTTTTATTAAAACTTACTTTTCCTAATATGTTAATTAAGTACATATATATATATATATACACTGTATAATTATTTCAATTTGCAAAACAAATAAACATTATAACTATGCCCTTGTGAACGGAAGAGATCAAATTTACCATTTCAATTGGTTTTCTCTTTATTTTAGCAAACTTATGACATTATAATAAAAAACATACTCCTCTTAACTCAATATTCCATGTACATTCATTCAAAAATAAACAAAAATGCTAAATTAATACTTAATTATTAATATATAAAATCTAAAAATCTGAACATCTAAAAAATAAACTAATAAGCATTACATTACGAGAGCTTATTTGAACCCTTTCATAGCTGTGTCTCATGTGTTTTGTCCTCCCTGACAGATATTAACAAAAATATTTATAAAACGAATAAGTCTTCTTTCCATATTACAACTGATATGAGAACAACAGCCTCTGGTCCAGTCCAATTCCTTGGAAAATAATGGCCCGTCTTGTCCTCAACAAGCCGCATGATTTGACTATCGTTCATGCCTGTAGCAGTATTTAATACTCACTTGCTTTCCCAGTCTGTATCTCCACTGACTGGCTGAATCGCCCACAGCCAGCCGAGGTTCTGGCCCGAATCTGGAAGATGTAGCTCGTGCCGGGCTTCAGACCTGACACTTTAGCGCTGGTGTTCTGTGACTTTATCGTAGCATAACTTGTCTGTTCGCTGTCCTGTAGAAAAATCCCAGTCAGACAATGAGACGTTACATTTAAAGGATTAGTTCACTTTTAAGAAAAACTTCGATGCTTTGTTCGTGATTCAAAATGAACAAATCTTTTTTCCGAGTCATTTCGTTCGTTGAATGAACAAAGATTCGTTCATTTTGATGAACGAGTTCGAACAGGAGAGTCACGAACGCGCATCACAGAACAGAGCAAGGCGAGCATTTGAGCTTATAAAACTTAAACTTTTGTGTTTATTTTTTAAATGAGCGATCGTTTCGCTTGATAAGACCCTTATTCATCGTCTGGAATCGTTTAAAGCCATTTGAAGCTGCACTGAAACGGTCTTTTAGACCTTGAACCGTTTGGACCCCATTGAAGTCCATTACATGGAGAAAAATCCTGGAACAATTTCGTCAAAAACCTTCATTTCTTTTCAACTGAAAAAAGAAAGACGTGGACATCTTGGATGACATGGGGGTGAGTAAATTATCAGCAAAAGTTGTTTTTTTTAAAAAGTAAACTAATCCTTTAAGGTCATTTTTATAATTACAATCCATAAACACAAAAGTGGACAATTCACACCAGGACCCAACAAAATCTTGTTTTGAGACCCAGGATGGAGGATTGGGCCGATTAAATTGAAGTGCTCACTAATCTGTTAGCATTCCCCGCTTCACCCCACTGCGTCCGTGAATTCTGTCCCCGCCGAAGCATTTCGCTTTGTTAAAACATCTTTGATGCTCCCATGTCCCCTGAGGAGACCGCCAGCACCGTATATCCATCAAAAACCACTGCAAGGTCTTTTGTTAAGCATCGTTCCCCAGGAGTCAACACACGGGCAGCGGATTGGCAAACAGGGATTGCACGTAAATCATATTTACATAGTGGCATTGTTGACTAGGCACCGTATACTAATTCTCTGTCACAGCTGATTTCTCTTTTGCGCCATTAGGCAGCAAAGCTCCCGGCTCATGCGACAATTAACTTCCCTCCAGTGTTTGGCAGCGCTCGCTGTGTTTGCCTTCAATGTCACTTTAACTAATCTCGCTGAATCAGTCTGAGAGCGCTATTGGTTGGTAATTTCCTTTCAATTAGCCTGAGCTGCCAATAAACCGAGTGGTTAAATTGAGATATTTGACTCCAGGCTAGTCTATAAAATGTGACCCGCCATCAAGCCATTTGTATAGTTGACAAGATCTGCTCAGTTAATGAATAAATATCACTCCTTTAAGACTTTTGTGTGTTCACACATTACCTTTTCATAATATTTGATGTCATATTCTAATATAACTCCATTGGGCTGAGCTGGTTCGTGCCAGAACAGCACGACACTGTTCTGACTGGCGTTTTCTTGCCGGACGGCCATCACTTGAGACGGAGCTGTGAAAACAAGGACATGATGGTGCCTTTAGTAAGACAGCAGATTCATTCAACAACAATATTTGTATAGATATGAGAAGCAGTAACATACTGCTGGAAAATACAGATAGCACCAGCTTTAGATGGATTCTACCGTAGCTTTTCGTTTATGTCTATTAGCTGGTTTAGGTGATTGATCAGCTAGTCGACTAGTTTGTTGGACCTGGTAAGGGCTGGAAGACCACCAGACCCGAAGCTATTCAAAACTGCTTAGGAGATTAATCAGCTAGACTAGCTAGCCAATAAAACATGGATTAACCTGGTTACGGCTGATAGATCACATTGTTTAAACCATGAGTGCAAAACTCAGTCAACCCCGAAGAGTTTAGCTTCAACTCTGATTAAACACACCTGATCCAATTAATCAAGTCCTTCAGGCTTATTTGAAAACTACAGGTATGTGTGTTGGAGCAGGGCTGGAATTAAAGGAGCTGTATGCAAGAAATCTAGTTCAATTAATCATACATGTTCCCTGATACGTCACTAGACAATTAAGAAATCATGTTCATTTCAAATACTTATATCACTGACAACAGTAGTCCGGCCAGGATATTGTCATTTAAAAAGTGAAGTCGCAGCCCTTGACTGACGTTGATGTTGTCAAGTTGTGTTTTGGTAATCACGGACTCAGTAGTGTTGCGGCATTCGGGTTGCCAGCTCTTCTCTAGTTACCACAGCTGCAGATACAAACGTGTCGGAATCGAATAAAGAAATTCTAACGTCGCGAAACCCCGAAAAACTCGAAATACTTTGTTACAAAGTCCGAAATAAATAATTAACAGAAAAAAAACTCACTGTGTAGGACTCGTTACTTGCAATTGGAAGCTTCTTGTAGCAGCCAACATTCCTGCTGGAACCTGCAGCATATCTGGCAACCTCGAGTCATGGGGGAAGGCGGGGATACACCCTAATTTGAAAGTGATTGCAGTACCAGTTTTGGCCACAATCGTGCATACAACTCCTTTAAACTCTGCTGGGCTGTGGTCTTCCAGGAAACGAGTTTTGCACCCATGGTTTAGACAATGTGGTCTACTAGCCGTAACCAGGTTGATCCCTGTTCCATCAGCAAGCTAGTCTAGCTAATCAACTAGCTGAGTTCTGAACCCATGGTCTATTTCAAACTATTGTAGGTGTTTGGACAGCTAGACTACTAACTGGTGGGACAAAGTTCACCCTGGTTAGGGGTGGAAGACTCAGCAGTTAAAAATTGAACACTTAGAGTAGACTAACAAACTAGACTAGCAGAGGTCAACCTAATTTGGTCTGGCAGACCAAGCCTATTCAAAACTGGTCATTTATGGTCATTAGTTGGTTCAAACAAGTTAGTAGCTGGTTTGGTCAAGATCAACGTGGTTAGGGTTGGTAGATCACCTTGTCGAAGCCTATTCAAACTGGTCAGTCATGGTTCAAGCTAGTTTAAGCTAATTGAGATGGTGGCTTAGTTAAAGTACTAGCAGGCTTGGCTATAATCAACATGGTTAGGACTGACAGACTAGTCTAAACTGTTTACAACTAGTCACTTATGGTCATTAGCTGGTTTAGGTGGTTGTTCAGATGGTGGGGCCACTTTTGCTAAGGTTTCAACCAGCTTAGGCTAGTAAGACCTGGATTTTAAGAATTGTGTGAATAACACTTTACAATAAGGTTCATTAGCTAACTAACTTAGTTTACATGAACTAAGAATGGACGATACTTCTTCAGAATTTATCAATCATAGTTCAAATGAATTTCAACATTTACTAATACATTATTAAAATCAAAGGTTGTATTTGTTGACATTAGCTTATGCAGTGTGAACTAACATGAACAACTGTGTTTTAATACATACAGTAACAAAGTATTGCTCATTGTTAGTTAATACATCAACTAATGAACCTTATTGTAAAGTGTTACGTAAATAATGAATGCAGTCATTACAAGCATTAATGACCCAACAGTGTCTCCTACCTGCCTGGTTTGTGGTGATATTGACCATCACAGACTGTGGCAGTTCGTTGCTCAGGTGCGTGACTCCATTTAGCGCGAGAACACGGAAGGTGTAGTTAGCGTGAGCGGCGAGATTCAGCACCGTCACCCATGGTTCAGTGAGTCCCGTCTGCTGTGGGATAAAGCGGACCGTGGCCGCTCCAGTCCGGGCCACCACGACCCCATTCAAGAGCCCTCCTCCCCCAGACGTCCCACCAACAGCTCCATTGGTGTCTGCAGCACCCCCATTGACCCCGTTACTTCCACCCGCACCCACCCGACAGTCTTCGCACTGCGTCCCGTCTTTGTCACACCTCTGGCAGAGGACATCATAGATGACATCACTGCGGCCCCCTGCGTCCAGAGGCGAACCCCACTCCAGATTGACCGAGGTGCCGTTCACAGATGAGATGATGTTTACCGGAGCAGACGGAGGTCCTGCGGGGAGGGGGGAGTTAGACACTTCTTAATTATAGGTTAATTAGTGAGGTTCAGGGAATTGGTGGTTATCAGGCTAGCCGATCAAAAGAGAATGATTGAATTTGCACTTCAGTAACCACACGACCCTGGTTCAACAAGTAATCTTGTCTTACCATTTTTACACTCATTAAAAGTTTAGAACAAGTTACGGTCCCACTTTATATCAATACATCAAACAACACTTTATACTTACATCAAACAATAAGTATAATGTATTATTGTGTTCCTGTTGTATTGTAAAACACTTATGCCGCTATTGAGGCGAGATACGGGTAAGGTTAGGGACAGGTGTGGGTCGGTTTAAGGGTAGGTTGAGGTGTGAGGGGAGGGTCAACTGTGTAATTACAAATGTAATTACATAAATTAATTATAGTTGTAATTGCATGCTGGAATCCATTATTACATTATTAATTTCAATGTAAGTACATAGTACTTAAAGCCACTTAATATAAAGTGGGACCCAAGTTACATTTTTGTTCCCAAAAAGTATTTGGAGACATAGGGCACAAGTTAAAAATATACTAGTAATTAAATTAGATTCATCTAAAAATAATAAAACAAAGAAAGGTAGATAGATCTGGACATCTGACAGAAATATTTAGTTTTACAATTTAATATAATAAAATAAAAAGTAACAAATTAGATTTAATAAGATTTTTATTTTTTACCTTTTTGGTAACACTTCACTTGAAGGGGTGTGCATAAGACTAACATGAAACCTTAATCATGACATGACATAATATAAAATATAATTGAATATTTTATTGAATATACATGAATATTTTATGAAAAAAATATTTTATAATGGCCTCATGACAGCCAATGTCAAAGCCAACCACATGACAGTTTAACTTAATTTAATGTCAAGATGTCATAACAAAGACATCTCAAACAATGTCATTTCCATTCAAAATGTCGTAATTGAGCGAAAGACACTTAATGACAGTTGTCATAAACATCCATAAACCCTATTTCATATTCAAGACATACGTCACGTCATGGTTATGAAAGTGTCATGTTAGTCTAATGCACACCCCTTCAAGTAAAGTGTTAACATCTTTTAATTATTAAGCTTGCTAATCAAATTATTTATATATTAAAAAAAAAATATTTATACAAAAAATATTTAAAAAATATAAAATAAAAGGAAATGAGGAGAAAAGACAACATACATCCACTAAAAATGACCAAAACACCAGCTAATTATTAAGTAACTGACTTTAAAAATGATGAAGTTAGTGAAGAGAAAAGATCTTGATCATTTATATCTTAATCATTGATTCTTCTGGGCATTGTATCTAAAAAATGAATTGGTTTGATGATATGTAAACATGAAGACTCACTTGTACAGGGAAAAGCCGGTGGATCCGTAGAGGAACGATAGAAGTTGGCGTCACACGGGCAGGAGAGAGCCGCTCGTGTCTCGGAGTGACTGTGGAGAGGACACTTCCCACACTGCTGATCTCCCGCCACCGGCTTGTAGAAACCCACCTCACACGCTAACAGAAAATACAAAAACAACACAATCCACAAATCAAATTAGTGTCAAAATAAGTCCAGAAATCAAAATGAACTATTCAGTTTCTTAATACATGTTCATTGTCATATTTGTGCACGATTCATCCCACGACACAATTCCCTTACATGCTTTCACATTGATTTGCAAATGATTTTATTCGAACAAGTTGTGAACAAGAAATGCGAAACTGTCGCTCTCAAGTGTATCGGTTCAGAGTTTACAAGAAGAATATTCAAGTAAGGACAACAAGTTCATGGCTGAGGAATCTGAGCTTTAGGGGAGAAAAAGAATTGAGAATTAACATAGAGCAAGATCTTTATCTCCACCGACAGAAACCCCAGGGAGTCCAAAAAGTCTTCCTTCTCGCAGTATTTATCCTTGTCTGTTTTCTCTTTTGGTTTGATCCGATTAATCCTTCCCTTCCTTGATGTTTTTTTGAAAAGCTCCTGAGTTGAAAAGCAGGTCACGATAAACACACGCTCATCGAGTACGGTGACGTCTTTGCTTTGAAGTATTTGACAGACAACACAATCAGAAGCACGCATTCAACATACACACCAACAGATTTCAGTTAATCATGATGAACTTTGGTGACCTTTTCTGTTTGGGTAGAAATGTCACTTTTAAGACTCTTTCTACTAAGTAAGTCTGATAAGAGTTTAAAAAAAGGAGATAGAGACTCCGGTGCTCTTTATCCAGGGGTGTTTACACACACTACATTAGGGCTGCGGTGTTCTTCTGTTTTTTGTGCACACTGTTTGGTTTGTCAGCACCTGTCAGAGCGCAGCTCTCGTTGCAGCCACATTTGCATTACAATGAATTTTAATGAATATCTACAGCCATTGTTTGCTGACCTTGAGTGTAGATAGTTAAATAAATATGGTTGAAAAGAATATCCACCGAGGTGTTGTAATTCAACAAGGTGATTCAAGCATCGGCACAAATGAAATGCTTTTAGTTACCATAGTGTAACTGTAAACTTATCATAAATGGCCGTCTTTTCATGGTAACTGTTGCAAGACATGTTGGAGTAATTCCACATTTCAGAAATAAAAGTTCAACATGAAATTATCATAAGATTGAAAGAGGTGTGTAATATAATTATTTGCGATTAATCGCATCCAAAATAAAAGTTTGTATTTACATAATATATTTGTGTGTCCTGTGTATAATTATTTTGTATATATACACACACATGCATGTATATATTTAAAAAAAATTGTTATTCATATATAAAATATTAATATTTATATATAATATAGATGATGTATATATATATATATATATATATATACACACATATATACAGTATTTACGTGCAAATAATTCTTAAATATATACATGCATGCATATGTATTTATATATACAAAATAAACATAGCACACATTATGTAAACACAAACTTTTATTTTGGATGCGAATAATTGCAATTAATCTTTTCACAGCCCTAAATAGAATAGAATAGAATAGAATTTAATTGTTGGAGTGCATTGAAAATTTACATACATTTTAATTATAAAACACTAAGTAATAAAACTTTACTTTATTATTAAAAAATAAATAATGATTATGATTATTAATCATTTAAAAAAATGATTATTTTATTAATAATAACAAATATATATTTTAAAATAAGTAAAATAAATAAATAATAATAATAATAATAATAATAATATATATATATAATAAAATAATACCCCACATTTTTGGCCAAAATTACATAAAACATTCAAACAACTGTTTACTTATTTTCTTAAGTATTTAAAAAAAAAAAAAAAAATAGATGTTTTATAAAATAAACATTTTGGCTAAATATTCATGTTGTTATCCAAAAGATTTTGTCTGATTATACTTCTGAAATTTCCAAAAGTAGTGTTAATGGCTCAAATATTTGACCTAATGACCTTAACAGTTCAACTTAAAGGAAAATCCGATCATCATTTACAGTCCTCGACCTCCTGGCTTTCTGGAATACAAAATCAGCGACATTAGTGTGTGTGTGAAAAAAAGCCAGAAGTTTCATTTGGACAAACTGTTATTATAAGAGAGTTATTCTGAGTATACTGCAATGCTCACAAAAATACACACGGAAACACTCCTCATACACACAAACACCTTGAGCTCTTTTGGGAGCTGAACAACAGCTGCTAATGAGCAGGGAGGATCGTCTGAGTGATGTATGATTCTGTCAGTGAAATCATAGCTGGAAATGGGGCACTCCATCACAGCTCAAAACACACACACACACGCTCTCCACTGAAGGGGTTACTGATAGCTCAGGCTCCGGACACATCCCGCACGCTAACGTTAGTGTGTCATTCGCCTGCTGCGCGCTGTCCTGCTCTAGATTTGCACCAGCCACGCATACAGTGCAGCGGCAAACCATTTTGAAGGTGTATGAAGGCCTGTACTGTTAATGTAATGATTGTTTCCCGTGAGAGTCATGAAAACACAACAGATGTTCCCATTCAGCCACTAATATACAATGCAAGCATTTCTGCTTTGTTGTTTTAACATGACATAAAGGCCAAATGCCCTAACAAAAGTGCATTGTTATGGTGTTTTAAAGCTGTTTCGGAAAGATTGGATTTATGATTTGAACGCAAAAAAAAAAAACCCACGCAGTCATAAATACGAGTGGGAAGTTCTGGGTTTTCTTTAAAGGGTTAGTTCACTCAAAAATGGTTCCAAACCTGTATGAGTTTCTTCTGTTAAACACAATTATTCCTACTAAGGAAGTCAATGGGTGTCGTCAAGTGTCTGAATTTTAATTTTTAGTAGAATCATCCCTAAAAAATGATGTGTTGGATTTACAAAATATATATGCACCATTTTTGCATCATACTTTTTAAGTAATCCCAACTTGAATAATTTTACTTAAGATTAACAAGAAAACCTTTGTTATACGTGCTTAAATAAATTCAGTTCACGCAACATTCTTTACTTAAAAATATTTATGTAACGTGATGCATATATTTTTAAGTAAAGAATGTTGCGTGAACTCAAATATTGGAAAAGTTATGAATATTTTTTGTGTTTATTTGATAAAAAATACAGTAAAAACACAAAAATTGTGAAATATAGATATCGTTTTCTATTTGACTATATTTTTTTAAAATGTCATTTATTTTATGTGATGGCAAAGCTGAATTTTCAGCATCATCAGCATCTTCAGTGTCACATGGTCCTTCAGAAATCATTTTAATATGCAAGAAACATTTGTTATGATTATCAATGTTGTGCTACAGAACAGCATTTAATTAAAATATACATCTCTTGTGTAACATTATAAATGTCTTTACTGTCACTTTTGATCAATTTAATGCATCCTTGCTTAATAAAACTGTTAAAGAATCATCTTACAGATCCCAAACTTTGAATGATAGTGTAAATATTCATGCAAGCACATCATTTCATTTATTTTAAAAACTTCAGCATAAATCAAATTCATTGCATCTCATATCTAAGGCAAGAAATATTCCTCTGAGGCACATCAGGTCATGCTCAGCTCAAAATGTATCATTAAAAATCTATTTTACTATGAAGGCGATTTTTGAAACACTTTTTGGGTATGGACTCGGGAAGGAAGCTTTGCATTGATGCACACTCTCTTTTAGTTATCAAAAGGTGAAGATTTTCCACAGGTCGCACCAGTATCGTTTCTTTCAAATCATAAAGAAACTGCTTTTTTTTTTTTCACGACAGCACTTTTAGAGGTGACATTAATCAAGGTTAGTGACATTTGGAGCAGGCCAATCCATCCCGAGGCAAAAAAATCCCAGCAGCGATACCGAGCATGACTGGCACGTCCAGATCCCGAAGCCGCACGGCCACGATAACACCTAATGCTGCCTGGCCCTCAAACCACATGGGAATGAGTCTCAAGATCGAACAACCGGAGGGTACAAATAAATAAAGAAAGAAATAGGGACGGATAAGAAGGGGAGAAGATGAATAGCTCGCAAACGTTTGGGCCTTCAAGCTTCGGCTCTATCAAAATGCCAATTCATGCATGAAATTCAAGCTGAACCAAGAGTACAATAACAGCGAACACAGACATGACCTTTTGATAGTCATTAAATAGACAGGTCTTTGATTTCAAACAGTGTGGATCATATTTTGCATTACAATACAAGGATTTCCCAGCATTAGACTTGCGTACTCTAACGTCTGCGGCTTTGCTAAATGTTACTCACTGCCTCCTCTGTACATTTAAAGAACAGTGCATACAAAAATGAATATTTTGTCATCCATTTTCCGACCACATATACTGTAATTAAAAAAAAATTATCTTATAAAGAAAGTTGCTTTTTTCCCCCAAACAACAAAAGTAAATGGTGATTTACACTGTAAAGCAGTCCAAATGACTTGAATCAATTATGTTAAATAAAAATGGCATCATTATATACTGTATATATATTATATACATTATATACATTATATACCGGGTTTGATAAAGGGAATGCATTGATGTCACTTTCCTGCCGGAACAACCCCCCTCAGCCTGACTGAGTGGCAAAAGATCTGCTGGATTTAATAGGGGAAACTGCGAAAATGCGACTAAAATGAACAATTTATCAATATAAACTAAATGTTGGACTCAATATAGTGTTCCTTACAACTTTCCATGGATATTGACACGCAGGCAGTTGTTGCCTGACATTTATGTTTGCCTGATTTTGACACCGGGGAAATAAAAGCAATATAGACCAAAACATAAAGCCAATTTGGCTGTGAATGCGTTATATAGATACAATATATGAGGTCTAAATCCAGGTGATCACTTATATCGGTGTTATATATAGTGAAATATATCAGTGCTATACATCATCATATTGTCCAGCCATAAAACTTTATAGTTTTTGGTCAGTGTTTATTAAAAAAACATCCAATAATGCAGAATTGATGAGTTGTTAATATATATAACAATACAAAATATATAGGTATGGTTTTCCACCTAAAACAACCAGTTGATCCATTT